TACACGGATGACTCCAAAACTGAGAACGGTTCAGGAACCGGAGTCTTTTTCTACACCTCAATATAAATATCTTCCAATAATTAAGTTATCCTCCAGTGGATAAAGGGTACTCTTATCCTGTTATAGTGCATTTTATGGTAATGATGCCGCAGATGAGCTAGCTAGAAGAGGTTCTGGAACGAAAATGGCAGGCCTGTATCCATTTCTTCTTCTTCTATTTTTGCAGTTTCGAATATGGATTCGTCAAATATACACTAATATACAAAACCAAAAATGGACACAGGCTACTAATCGCAAACAATCAAAATAAGACAATCAAGCTTCTGTGCTTCTAGGGTGAGCTTGGCTGGATGTACTAGTCACGACTCATACGTATAATGACCCAAATGAGAGGCTTAGTGCGGCAATAAAAGTTCGGTTTAGATTATATTATTTTACAAATAACATTTTTTGCGTCATACTGTATTTACTGTACCTTAGTAAAGAACACTTTCATCAACAAAGAATTAATGACGATGATGATTGTCTCATAGATGACATCAAGTTTAAAATAGATTTTATCTTATTTACGAAACATCAGATAATGTTTGGACTATTCAGAAATAAGTAATCATTTTTAGTTAAACTATAACCGAGTGTAGGCTCTCTGTTTTCGGTAGTTTTAATATTTATAAGGTAAGAATTTTAATAATATTGGTGTATAATGTACCATATATTTATAAGGCAACGAAACTATTGGGTTATTAGTTGGTAACAAATAAATAAAAATACTACATTATATATATAGGGATATTTAATTTTACGTTAAATTGATTTAATTTTTATTATTTATTTTCTAAATTAACTGTAATAGTTATGCATACCTATAATAAAAATGTTAAATTTATGTAATCATTATTAACATAATAAACAATGATAATTAAATATTGTTTGTCGTGAGAAAGATGGCATGTCAATGTTTTATTATAATACTAGCTGTATTTCGCTGCATTGCTTGTTTGAATCAGTATATGAAGTATATCCTCTGTGCTAAGTTAGGATAACCTACCAGCCTACCAAATGTTATTTAAATCTATTCGGTAGTTTTTGCGTGAAATCATCTATCCATATATCCATCGTTACTATGTTTCGCATTTGTAGTATTTATAGAATTATAATTATTTTCTATTCATTAGTTTGCATTCTTCATTTTTATTAGATGGTTTCTCGTTATCAAAAATATATTTTATAATATTTACTAGGTATTATATATAAAAGTACATATATTATACTGCATGAAATCAAATTCGTTCCTTCTAAAGGAGTGTTCTATCAGAGAAACTGATAATTTTCTAAAAAAAATTAAGAAAAATCATGGCGCGTCTAGCATTTAAATTAGTACATTCAATATTTTTAGTCGCTTTCAATTCTCGATTTTCAATTTCTGTCCTAATGTATTTTATAGTATGCGTAGATTCTCAATTTTACGGTTAACGATATCTATTTGAATCTGTACATATAAATTATATATTATATGAAAACAATATTTTTTCGTTTACAAATGAGTTTAAGAACATCCCTTACGACCTAAAGATTAGGTGTTTTTATTAATAGATAGGCATAGAACTGTCGATATTATTATTAATTTATTTGCAAAGTTACGTTGTTTTTTTTCCAGTTATTTGTGTTTCAAAATTATTTTTATTATTTCTTTACATTTTATTGACCAAAAAAACATAGTACAAAAGGCAGGTTTAATTCTATTGGTATACTGTAGCGGCTAACCTTTAAATTATCATATCAGGTGTATTGATTTCTTTTTTATATAGATGCTAATTAAAAATTAAAGTAGTAGTAGTATCAACAAACAAATAAAAAGTATATATAAAAATACTAGTTTACAATATTCATTATATATGATTAATAATAGATAGATAGATACTCTTTATTGGATTTAGATATTTTAAAATATAAAACAATTACAAGAAAAATCACAATGAGAAAACAATATTTAGGTTCTTCTTTGGATGGCAATATTATTTTATTTTAAAATATAAAACAACATAAAATTAAAATAATTAGGTTTTCTTTGTTGTTATACATTAAAACTATGAATTTAAATAATCATTCTATTTATTATGTTTATTATTAAAATTAGTACATTTTTGTTGTTTAATTTAATGTTATCAATAGATACCTAACAATCAAAGGTATTTTTCCAATTAAAGTCAATTGACCTTAATATATTTATATATTGTATGTTTGCTCGTTATTTTGAATGTAAATCAATCTGGACCTAACAGTCTTTTGACAGAAACAGATCATTTTTATCTTTCAGCTTAAGTATCACACAAAGAGATTTAGAATTGCTTCAATCGGCTAGATATGCTTTTGATTGAAGGGACACCAAATTACCGGACCGTATTCCAACGTAGAGAACTTCTGACTTGGGAATCTAATATTGGATTATAATAACTATCGTCCCGGTGCGGTTTCGTCTTGTAACATATTATTGATATGTATTCGTAGGTGTAGCAAATTGGTGTAATTTTTTATTTTTTATATATAATATATTAATAGTAGTTCTAGTAGATGACAAGTATTGTTTTATCGATGTAATATTAAAAATGTGAAAGTTTTTAAGGATGTTTATGTGTTTATGGATATTTGTTAATAAAACATGCTCTAACGGTTGAACGAATTTAAATGCAATTTAGAATACAGATATTCTATTTGGAAATAAGGAATTCATCCTCTTAAACAATTCATGCAAGCAAAGCCGCGGAAAACAGCTAGTGTTTATATAATTTTATAATAATTTTAATCAGAGGGAGACTGTACAGAAGTTGTTTGCTTGAGCACCTCTGTCCCATTTGTGTTTTTACTGTAAAGCAATTGTGTTTACATGGCTGTGTTTAGGTTTGAAGGGTGGGATATGGTAGTGAATTAACAGGATACAGAGGAATATCTGAGTCTTCAGGGATGGCAACGCCTGGGGGGGTATCATGGGTGAAACAGTATACTCTGTTATATCTATGGTATTGCTCATGTCTATAGGCGACGGTTACCACTTTCTATCAAGTGGGCCGTCAGCTTGTATGCTATTCTAAGTTCTAAAAAAAATACAAAATAAAATAAATCTGTATTCACTGACGGCTAAGCAGAGGGCGAGTTTATTTTATATACTCATAAAAATTTAAATTATATCAATTATAATATAGTATTATGCTATTAAATTATCGTATTAATTTCACATAATACATAGTATTGTTACCATAGGACTTAATGCAAAATGTATATAAGTGTTGTAACACTTGTTATATATGATATGTACATAATTTACATAGTATTTGACGTGTCATTAGCGGATCTTGCATCTGTAATGATGGAGAAACTGGGGTAATACCTAGTGACGTTGTGATTAAATAACCACTATATATTACGTATATATTTATATTCATCTATATACATTTATTAAATTAATAAGTTATTATAAGGCCCAACTCTCTGTCACGTTGGATTCTAACTTATTCGGTGAAATGCGGGCATCTCGGTTGTTATGTTATCCATAATGGCAACTGTTAAAAGTCTATTTGGAAAAGTTTTTAAGGCAGTTCCAAAAAATTTGACTGCGAAAATTGGAGTAAAATATAATTAATATAATTTATATATTTATGTATATAAATTATATTAATTTTATATACATTCATATAATTAAATAATATTATGTATAATTGCGCATTTATATACTGAGGTATTTATTTGAAAGTATCACTAACTCTACCGTATCTACGGACTAAAAGCAGATTTTAATTGAAAAAGGCTTGCTATTCAGGATACTCGAAAACTAGGTTTGTATTGTTACAATATAAAAGTGTGCGTTTTAAAAGGTCTGTTTTTTGTAGTTCAACAAATATGTGCGGCTTTATAAAAATAACTTTATAACTCAAAAAACAGAATATGAAATTATTTGATATGAAAGATGATATAATATTTGACATCGAAAATAATACAGTAAATATTTTATTGTTCTTTTAATTTTGTTTTAATTTTAAAGATCTTTATCATAGTAAACTCATTCAAACACTATAACTAAAAGAAACTATTTCATTTAAAAGGATTATTTAGATATTCTATTTAATTATCTGTTACACTTATAGACACATCACTAACCTATTTCTCTGTTACCCTAATGGTTAACTGAATGGTTTCTAATGATAAGTAATGTGGTACTTAACACAAAATTGTGTTATATGTATTATGTATATAACATATATATTTCTATTGCGCATTAAAGTTTAAATAGATACTTAGTTGAAAAATTATGTTTTGTAGTATTTTGTCCTTGTTGTGCAGTTTATTGGCAGAAATGATAATAATAATTATTCAAGGGAGAACACTATAATTTACTCATAGGTTAATATGGAGATAGCTAGTGTAATACCGTACTTGTTGCGATCAATAAATAGCTGAAATATTGATAATGTTGATGTGTGTAATAATACGTGTATAACATGTTCAATTTTATGAACATAATGGAAAAATTGATTAATGCGGAATTTTGCATATAGCTATAATAAAATAATTTAATGATTGTATGCATAATTACGAAATATTGCAGTTATAATTGGACAGTATAGAGATATTTTATATTGTTAAACACGATATTTTACAAATTATGTACTTACAATATACGAGTCCAACATATCTCTGAAATACCTGATAGCATTTAATTGTTAAATAATTTAACCATATTTCTGCCACGAAGCAGCTGTGCTTGTGTTGCTGTGTTTCAGTTTGAAGTGTGGAATATGATCATGAGTTTACAGGTTACGGAAGTATGCTACCATAGTCTTCAGTAATGAGAAAACATTAGGAATAACAGTATGGCATTACAGTATATTTTGTGCTGATTATGGTGATGTTTATATCTATAAGTTACGGTTACTAATTTTCATTTGTTTCAACTTTCCAAAAAATAAAGTTGTTTTTATGTATAACCAAATATTAATAATTTCCAGGAAAAATGAAGTTAATAGATCCACGGCGGCTGCTGGGCAGGGTATTCCCCATAGTTCAATGGTCAAGAAGCTATGATACTCAATCGGCTGTCGGTGATTTGATTGCTGGCGTCACTGTGGCTCTTACTCTAATACCACAGTCAATTGCTTACGCATCATTAGCTGGCTTTGAACCTCAGGTATTATCCGTCGTCATTTTTTATTATATTTGCTAGTAATGTTAATACTATAATTCATCCATATGTATAAAGCAGCTGATTCTTTTGAATATATAATATTTCTTTTCGCAATTGTTTTAACGATTATGCATACGCTAGTATCTTTAACTATACCTGATACTTTTTTACGGTACTTAGTTTGTATTTCGTTGAAAACAGTTTTTTCTCTTTTGTTAGAAATAAAAATTTACGTCAGAATAAGTAAACTATATACTCATGTATTATTTTTTTGTAGTAACCGTAATAAGAATGTAATGTGGAACAATGCCTTTTTATCATCCTAGATATCGTAAGAGGTATTTATAGGAACAAAGGATATTAGTGCAAAAGAAGGAAATTAAATATGATTTCCATTAAATTTTATAATTTCCACAGCAAACTAGAAATAAAAAATCTACTACTGGTTTGCTCGTGACTAATAATATAATGTTAATGGTTTGCGGTTTATTATATAAAATTTCTATTGTATTTCATAAAACTTTCGAAAACAAATCACAATTTTGATGATAAAACAGGTGTCCAAATTATACTCGGAATTTCGATTCAATTCCATTCGGTCGATATTGTTTGTTTTCGAAATACAAATATTTGCAAACGTTGTTCCGGTATTCAGTCATTGCAGTAATAGCGCTAGGTTTTGATCTTCCACCGTCGAAGTAATTTTATGAAATGTGCATTCCAATTAATATCGTAGAGAATGGGCATTTACAGCAGCGAAAATTTCCTGTACTCTCTTTAATAGCTCCATTTCAGTGGAGTTTTAGTGAAAGCTTTAAATGGATACGGATTCATAAGTTTTAAAATGAGTGTATAGCGTAAAATCGTTGCCAGGCAATTAATTTTTAAAATTGCAATTGCGATTTTTGCGTATAGTTTTTTTTTATATATTTATTTGTTAGTTTTTTATAACTTAATTAAGTCCCGCTCTCTTATATACCCGTTTAACTAAGTCCTCATTTGGACCTTGATATTGTTTGACCTTCGATTTTACCTTTGTATTGGCATTTATTTCTCTCATTTCAACTTGAAAGGACTTTAATAAAGGAGAATAGTCTTTGAGACTTTTTTGTCACATTTAATTTTTAACTTCACATACAATAGTGTATTTGATACAATGTTAAATTGTGTGTAGTGATTGAATGATTATCATCTTATTTATAGTATGCTTGCAAAAGTTATAGTATGTACATCTTCACTATAGTTTATTGAAAACATCCGTTACTGCAGTTCATTGTTATCGTAAGCAGGTCAAAATACTTTAATGAATGAATGAATGAGCTGAAGAGCTATATTGTATTTAAGTACTTGTGTATTATTACTGCTACATCATATTTTTATTGTTATAAGTTATTATTATTATAATTTTATATTGTACATGCCGATATGGTAGAATATGGAATAATGGACATGTAATTATTTTTTTCAACTAATGTATGTACCCATATTCGTGCAATAAATGATTTGATTTGATTTGATCATTAGTAGTCTTTAATAAAAAAAACCCAAAAATTGCAACTGGTATTTATTTGTGATGTATCAGTTAATCGCTTTGACAAAATTGTTAGTTTCCTCACAATAGTCTTACTTACACAGTATTTAAGTGACATTTAAAACAAAGAAAGTTCATTGTTCGTCTCTATTTTTTGTTCTGTGGGCGATATTGTCGTCTATTTTGAACCAACTTTTGTTATTTTTTTTAAATCAATAGTAATAGTCTTATGTTAAATTTGTTGTGATTGAGTCATGCTTGTTCAGAAGTAAAATTTGTTTAAAGATACATGTTTCGCATTAAAATATTTTCAATGTAATGTATTTACGAAATATTTCCTTATTTATTTTAAAGAAGACTACAGACGCGAGTGAATATTAATGTGCTTGCGATTGATGTCACTTTTTTGTGGAGCAAAATATACCAGTTGTTGTCTCTTTCTGTCTCAGTATCTTTTTAATGTCACTACTTTTGACATCTAATAAAAATAGAAGAAAAGTAAAATTTAAGCTATCCCTGTAAAAGATAATAAAATAACAAACATTAAACGTATGAACAATTTCATTAATTTTAAAAATCATCAGATAATTAAGTAATTTATTAGAAAAACTTAGGATAATAAGGACGGTTCTGATAGTATCAATAAAGTTATAAATATGTAAACAGATAAGAGACAATTTAGTTGAGTTCAATTCAGTTGAGAAACAATTAATTATGTTAATATTTATTTTCTGGTATTTTATTCAACCAATTTTATTATTCATAATTTTCTTATATGTTATATAAATAAATAAGTTTTGTGGATAACAAAATTTTATAGTATAATAAAATAAATTAGACTATTACTCTTGTATTTAGTAGTAATATTTTTATTTCAGTATGGTCTATATGCATCGTTGATGGGCGGTTTCACATACGCTTTAATGGGCACATGCCCTCAGATCAACATCGGGCCTACTGCGCTGCTATCTCTCCTAACGTTCACATATACAAGCGGTACAAATTCAGACTTTGCAGTATTAATATGCTTCGTTGGCGGCATCGTTCAGTTAATCGCCGGGATCGCCCAACTTGGTAAGTATAACAATACCAACACTATACTATAATCATGATCTAGCTTGTAAGATAGTAGTTCTCTAATCATCTTTTACAACAAATATTTTAAATGCATTAAAGAAAAAAATTTTTACTTTTTGAATTCAAGTCGATTATCTCACGTTTTGTGAGGTGAGATAGTGAATTTAGCTGTTCTCTACCTTGTTCTACTCAAGATATAAATCAGTCGTCAAACAAATTTTCGGTCTTAACCATTATTGAACTCACGAGTTCACGACGTTGCCCGTCGTGAAATGGGGTGTACGTATTTACTACCCTATCGCACAACATGTGGTAGATGATAAAAAAATATCTATGAGGCTTTTTTTATCTCGTTATGATTATACCAGTTATTACACAAAGAAACCTGTATAAGTATGTAAGTATAGACGATTGGGGCGCCCGAATTTAGTTTGCGAAACTTCGAAACACCGAACGTAGTCGTGCCATGCAGCTGAAAATTGCGCTACTATCTGGTTTTATTAGTCTTTAGAAATGCCTTTGTGTCGTTGGCTTTTATTGTTTTATTGTAAACTGTATTACATTGTTCAATACTTTATACCAGTGTATATTTGATAAAATGATCTTAAATATGTACATAAATTTATTTTATGAACTCTATCATTTATCAAAACAGAACTGCAAATGTATTTTACTATGTTTAGGTATATAATATACTTCCTTGATTTTAAAACTGGTTTGTAAACCTTGAGTACAGTTTCGAATCATTGTTTTTATTAACATATTTTTAAATACCTCTCGTACAATCAATAGCTTATCTATATGAATCCAATTAATAAATTGATTGTATGTAAATTGTTTTAATATAAAAAATATATTGTTAAATAAGGAAAGAGGTGATGGAATAAGAATAAAATATATCATTAGTGCATAATAAAGCAGTGCAAGATAAGGAAAATTTGAAATAAAATCCTATAATCGAGCTGCCTTGATACCGTGGTAATAATATTTAGGCTAATATTTTCCTCATATGAGGAGATACTCATCTTTAGCATTAGAGAGATACTATACACTAGTATAGCTGCAAATACTTATTTATTGTGATACAATGTATCATGATATTGAAATATGACCATATAAGTAAACTCTTTTATTTCTATTACTATAATTGTATATGATATTGATGGTTTTGACTTTTGGTATTTAGAACTTTTAGTTCATAATGTATGATATTTCATAAAAGGACGTCATAATTGCATACCATAAGCGATATTGCGAAACAGGTCAGGCGCTACAAAAATTGAGTGTTTGTTACAATGTTTGTAAGGTGAAATTTAATTGAGAATTCTGTAGAATATTTAATAATTGCTGTACCCCGTGGCTTCGTCTTTATGAATCAATACACAAAGTACTAAGTGAGGATATAACCTATCCGTGTTCAAATCCGTTCAGTTTACTATTTCACGCATAACCATGCGTGAAATATGCGTGAAATGGTAGAAAGAAATCCTGGTGATATGTTGGTATTAGTTGCCTGTCTATATTACTGCTATTTTTCATAACAACTGAAAATATTATGCATGTATTTGACACAGTTGTAGAACTTACTGGCAATAATCTGTATTAAAAAAATATGAAAACAATTTTACAATATATATATATATATATATATATATATATATATATATATATATATATATATATATATATATATATATATATATATATATATATATATATATATATATATATATATATATATATATATTTGTCTAGTATTATATCTACAAAAAAATTCCAATGTTCCAATGTAATTTTCTCATTATTTTCAAAGTATTCCAACAGAAAAATAATTATAGTGTAGATCTATTTTTATGATGATTACGAAATCTAATTACCATTTTATCATTAAATACAATACAAGAGAATTAATGAACATCTTTTGTACAACTTTCCCGAATCAAATCATATCTAAAGGAAATAAATTTATTTAAAAAATATTTTCAATTTGGAATTATATAGGTGTGAATGCGACTTTGTACTTTATTTTTTATGCATTGTTATTTAGATTATAATGAGATCATCGTTGGCAAAAACATGTTTATTGAAGATTTACTATGGCCATAATAGTAATTGTACTTAATTTGTTGTAGTTAATTGTTTGACATACGTTTATGTATTATATGTATTCAATATTGTTCTTCATACTTTAGTATATATCTTTGCATTTTGCATTCACGATTGGTCATAAGCATGAAGGTTCTTTGATCTCTTCTTATTATACTCTCGATAAGAACGTCATCGTTTTATCTTCGTATTATTTGAATCGCATTTCTGATCTTTTAAAGTATTTTTAACCTTCTTCCAAAAGGCAAGACGGTCTCAAGTCGTTTGTATTTATAGTATACAGCATGTCTGTTATGTGACACAGTCGACATTCGTGAACTAACTTAAATTTTTAATGAAAAGTAACCAGCACAAGTAAAATTAAATAGTATTTTAATTGTGAGCCAATTTTGTTTACCTGAAAATAATTACTTTATTGTTTTTCTAAAAAAGAATCGTACTTCTTAAATTTTTTGCATTGTATATTTTTATAGCTTTTGAAATAACTTCACCAAAAGTTTTAATAACTTTTACAAATTTATTTATATACTTGCTCTTAATAAAAGAAAAGTTGAAAAAAGCAACATATTCCTTTTTAAAAGGCCGGCATTGCAGGTGCTCCTGGACGGCGGTAGTCACTTACCATCAGGTGAGCCGCATGCTTGTTGGTCCCCTGTGATATATAAAAAAAATCATAAATGATATCACAAATGAAGTCAGTCATAGAATCCGTGAAACTTACGAGTAATAATGTGCCTTGAGAAATGTATTAGAGTTGTCAGAATAATTTTTGTATCTTTCATATTAAATCAATAACGTGTTTATATGGGTCGCGTAACTTTTTAACCCGTCTGGTCAGGTAATCGATTTAGTATGATATTAGTTTAACGGACCCTATCACTAGATTTTGGGCTTTTACACCCGTACTAATAAAATTGTATAATCATTCTAACTTTAATTATAATATTATCTCTAATATATAATAATCTCTAATATTCTATCGTTTCAGGATTTTTAGTTGAATTCGTATCGTTACCAGTAGTATCTGGATTCACATCAGCAGCGGCTATCACGATAGCATCTTCACAAATCAAAGGGCTGTTAGGCTTGAGGTTCAGTGCTGAATCTTTTACAACAACTTGGCGAGGCGTATTCCAACATATATATGAAACCAGGTTGCCAGACACGTTACTAAGTTTAGCCTGCTGCATTGTACTTATGGGGATGAAAGTAAGTATAAAATATTTACGTAGAAATATTATAAAAATATTTTATTTAACAAATTTTGCTGTGTGGCCTAGGAATAGGCCATCCATTTCTTCCCCATGGGTGTCGTAAAAGGCGATTAAGGAAACTTAATGGTCGAAGGATTGGCAGCAGGGTCGCTCTTGAAATTTCACCAAAGTCTAACTGCGATTGTCAATCCGCCTGCCAAGCGTAGCGACTACTGGCAAGACCCCCTTCTGGGGAAGACTTATATTCAGCAGTGGACAGTAGACGGTCGATATGGTGATTTAATAAATTTTATTTTTTGATTTGTTACGTGATAGGAAAAAAGTATATTGTAGTTTACATATACTGGTTGAAATTATAATCATTAGTACTCATAGTAATTATTTTCACAAAGAAACTATAATTGGACTCGTATCTGAGAGTTTAGTACAAATTATACCAAATAAAAAAAAATTGGAAAAATTGTGATGTAACTACAAATTTACGGTTTTCGGATTTTATGCTATATGACATTGCATCTTATTAAATTTCACGATTCTAGGTTTACAGGAAGTTCTTTGTAAGTTTTGATTCCCTTGGAAATGACGAATTTACGTTATAAATGGCCGTATCTTGTGTTTGCGTTGACTAAGAAATGGATTTTTATAAGAGTTCCGTTTTTCCTTTCAAGGTATGGAATCCAAAAAATGACAAAAATGTTTACATAGAATATAAATAGACAGTTACTCTGTTGGGAGATTAAAAAAATATTTTATAGTTTTGATATTACTCTTGATTTTTTTTCTTTTTGAAACAATAATTTCAATATTATTTTAAAAACAGTTACAAAACAAGATCGAATATACATATATATGGGCTGATGCAATAAAACTTGAATTATAGATTATATTAGCATATATGTAGGTATCAAATATTCAATAATACATTATTTTTAAAATATAGATGTGTAATTGCTGATTTAAATTAGGCCAAACTTGTTATTTATAGAATTGTTTATGTTGTAACTTCTTGATAAAAATTTATTATATTTAAATTTTTTTAAAAAAATTGTATTATATATGGTATAATTGGCGATTAGTTACCGCTGGCGTATATAAGTAGTAAATATATTTTTAATAAAGATACACAAAAGCAAGCTTTTAACTTATAATTCAATTTAATATATATTAAATGTGTGTTTATGAAATGTGCCTAATTTGAGATATAGTTTGCGAACGCAAATTCTGACGTCCATGTCGAAATTTCATAGACGTTGCTATATGTTGTAGTTTCAAGTTCCAAATTCAGGATTCGGTGACGAGACTAATTGGACTTAGGTAACATTCTACATGAATAATTTATCTGCTGGCATTGTAATATTCCACAACTGGCTTCTGGTTCTGGTTGGTCCTATGTAGTGAAGATATTAATTCAGATGGACTTGGGTTGAAATAATTTTCTTGATTAGACAGAATTTTTATATTTTTGTTACAATCCAAATTTATATTTATGTTTCTTCACAACTTATTTAAGCCAAATACTGGAAATAGGGGGAGAATATAAGGCCTTCTTTTATTGACTAGGCGGCTTCATATAAGGTTTTATATGTAGTTTTATTTCTCTTGCACTGATGTATTTTGTGGTCCTAGTTACGTTTCCCTTAGTCGTCCCATTGTATTCTTACTTTGTCATCATTGTTTCATCAATAGAAAAAGTATCCTTATTTTGGCAATAGATAGTGTATCCTTTATTATGTTTCTAATACCTATAAATTATTTTTTTAGGGACAAAAGATAAATAAAATTATTTAAAAAACGAAGAATTTAGAACCTACTTTTTTAGAAATCGCTTGAAAACAAGTACGTAACAATCGGACATTGCCATTCTCGGAGACAAAGGTGTTAAACAAATAAATATAAAGAGGAGACTGTTTTCCCTGTTTTTGTGCCATAATAGATTTTTTCTTTTATTTATTCTACTGTACGGTATTACGATGTAACATAATTAGGCTGCGTATCTACGTGTGTTCGAGAGAGGAAAACGTCTCGAAAACAAAAAGGTTGTTATTCAATTACACAGCAATTATCTTCGCATTCTTTTTCTTTTTTGCAATAAATTCAATGGTTATACTGACTACACATAATAAATCTAAATAATAAAATGTAATAACACTTCCACTACTTGCTTTAATATACTTACATAATTTATTATGTGTTTTAATCACTTGCACCTCAAATCAATTTTGTTTTCGAGGAAATACCATTTAATTATTTTACTTATGCAACTTACAATTGTAAATACTATCCACTTGATAGAAAGCGATAGTTATTGTCCGTAGTTTAAAATAGTATGCCTGGTAGCTGCTCTAAGTATGAGCAAGGAGTAAATGACTGAATGTTAAACACACAGTTGAAACTTGTGAGTCTGTAAACATGAAATGTTATATAGGAGCTGCTTATTAGCTAGGAGCTGTAGGAGCTAGGTACTAAATTTAATTGAAAGGAAATCCGATACCAACTTAATTATATTATTTTTAAAATTTATGTTGATTTTTGTTGATTTATGTTGATGTTTGATTAACGACGTTCATTTTATGTATAACGTGAAATTTTATGAACATACTATATTTATTGTTTCTGACAAAAATTGTTTCGACTCTTAGTTACAATTGTTTTATTCGAGACGAGATTCTGTAATGCATAGTGTCGTAACGCCTACTGAGAAAGACGAAGTCAAAATAACTGTCGAATCGATTTAATCGAAGCTTGTAGTGAGTATTTATTTAATTCAGTTTCCTATTATCATGGTAATGCACTATTAATAGTCATTTATAAGTCAAATTGGATTTTTTTTTATTTATCTAAACGGAAATACTTTCAGATATATAGTTTGTAGAACCATACAATTTTTATCAATATTGATCAAGTGGTTTAGTTTTTAAATCAACATAACAAATTTTTTCATGATCGAACCAATCGAAAAAAACATGTTTTTTTGTGGAACAAAATCTATATTTTTTAAAATGGCTGAAAACAATTGTTTGATTACACAATATAAATAAAAACAATCCGAACACTTATTTTAGTTTCAGACTAAAATACAATACACGGACAATATCGTACGGCAACTGTCGTTCTTATTATGAACACTTAAATATATCGGGCGCGACACTTCCGCGACATTGTTGTAACTATTGTAATGGAAGAGGCTGTAGACGAGTGAAACTTACGAATAATGTTTGAGTACTCTTATATATCTTCATATGTAGAATATGAATATGTTGTATTGTTATGGCTATATTACATTATGTACGTATTTAGAATTAAATTGAAATAAAAGAATAGCAATGATTTCCCATGGAATAATTTACACGCACATATAGTTTATATGAAATAATTGGCGTAGACAAATTTATTGCCGTTCCCTAGTATCTTAGTATCTAACTAGGTCTGTAATATTAATAATGGTGTCTGACTATTCTGTTTCTCCGCAATTCTGTCTGGAACGATGTCTATATTGGATATTCTAAGTATCATTTCATGCCATATACACAGACATTTGTGTCAGTGTCTGTGTTAATTATGAATGTAAAGGGGTTTTTTAATAGACAGATAATATCCACGTTGTACCTTAACAAATTTATTTCAAATATTTATTTTTTATTGATAGTCTTTGGGGAATGCTCATGTCTCAATTTAGCAGTTTAATAAACAGCTGAAAAATAGGAGGAAAATTAAATTATTAGTAAAAATTTTGCATTTTTTCATAATTGCAGGTGTTAAAGGACATTAGAGTCAAAGGAATGCAAGATAAGAAGAGCCGTGGGAGTGCTGTAATAATTCAGAAGTGTTTGTGGTTTGCCGGTGTAGGCAGGAATGCTGTGGTTGTCGTCTTGGCAGCCGTGTTGGCTTTCTTTGTACATCAGGACAAAAATGAGCCATTAATTTTAACAGGTGAGATAATTATATCTTCTACCTGAAATATATAAAAATAATATCATTGGTTGAAATAAAAAGAAATTAATTCTATTAATACAGGGTTTACAAATTGTAATCGTGAATTAAGTTCTTTATTAGAAATTAATGTTTTATTAAGGGCAGAAATTTAAAAGTTCTTTGATACTTATAAAAAAAACAACATTGTAAGATTACAAAGTTTGTTTAGTATATTACATGCACGAAAAGAATGCAGGATTATTATGAAATTATTAAAAAAGTTATTAAAGTATTATTATCTCTTTCTTACTCGTGTTTCTATCGTCAATCATATGCCTTTATAGTTTTTTTCAGTTTAAAGTGTAAGATATGGTAGTGACATTACTAGATATAGAGACATATATAGTATCTTGATTCTCATTAATGGGATTATATGAGAGGTACCATGGTATCACAGTGTTTGCCATTATACCTATAATGCTGTTAATATTTATAGGTGACGGTTACCGCTATTCATCAAGAGGGCTGTCAGCTTATTTGCCATTCTAAGTTTCTAACATATCTATCTCTGTATCTAATCAGCTCACATTCACGCACTGCAGGGTTTATGTTATTACCTATCTAAGTTTAAGACATTTTTTTTTGTATACAACTTAGAATGGCAATGGCATAGCATAGTATACTGTTTCGCCCATGATACCCCCCATGCGTTGCCATTCCTGAGTACTCAGGTGTTATTCCTCTGTACCTTGTAAATTCACGCCATATCCCATCCTTCAAACCGAAACACAGCCATGCAAACACAACTGCTTCACGGTAGGAACACGAATGGGACAGAGGTACCCAAGCAATCGACTTTTGTACAAAGTCTCCCTCTGGTAAATAATATGTTTTCATTATTTTAGCATTAGATATTAGATTGCATGTCACTAAATGTTGATATTTCATTGTATTCTTTCAGGAAATATAACTCCAGGTTTACCGATGCCTCAACTGCCTCCCTTTTACACTTCGGTAGGGAACACCACGTATACGACCGGGGCTATGTTTGCCCACCTTGGCTCTGGGTTATTAGTTGTTCCGTTAGTGGGAATCATATCTAATGTCGCTATAGCCAAGGCTTTCGGTAAGAAATTCATCTATTTTATTCAATACTATGTTCTTTTCCGCTTTTTTGTATGCGTGGATATTAGAAGTAGGAAAATCAACAAAATATATCACTTCTAGATGGCGGATCAAGATAATCAAAATCCATGTATTTAGTTAGATTTTTGGAAAAAAATTGTGAAAACCGCGTTAAATGTGTTGCAGTAAATTTAATACAATTTATTGCATACATATGTACATACAGGCAGACAGATATAGACAATATTTCTAAAAAAATATTGTTTTTTATTGCTTTTATAATAAGACCCATTATATAAATTTTTCTTGAATATCTTCTAGGAACAGATATTGTCTAATTACAATTTTATTACATTAGTAACATGTACATACATATACTTTAATATACATTTGTATCAATATATACAATAGACCCTCCAGACACATACACAGCATCATTAAGCTTCGAATTGAGTTTGCACTATTGGTGTTATATAATAATAATAATAATTTTATTTGCTATGATTTTGGGTATAAAACATTTAATCTTATAAATTAAAAGTACCTTACAAAATCTACTTATGTCAAGCTTGCAAATATTGAAAGAATTACAATAATTTAATTTCAAATTTTTTTGTAGCATTTAAACATTAAAGTTAAACATTAATAGTACTAAGATAACTTATATATCGACTAAGACATATTTGAGGTCATCGTTCCATCTAGTAGGGGGTCGATACTGAGTTAGTTCAGACTTGGTCGTCACCATAGAATCTTTTTTCATCAGCTGTGAGATTATGTGATTTGCCCATTTCCACATCTGCTTGCCGATCCTTCGAGTTTTATTACTATCCGCTTTCTTTTAAGTTGTTCAAAAATATAACAGGAGTTATGAATTTCTTAATATCCGAGCTATTTTAAATTTAAATAATCTCGGCTGCTATCGATTTGTCAAAAGCAATCGAAAAACAATTTGAAGTCTTTTGCAATACACATTAAATCGCATTCAGGAGAACGATTTCTCGTTATGTAAAATAAATCGAGCATTTACGAATTATCATAATTGTCATTGCAAATGGGGTAGCTTAAGTAACAGTCGATTGGCGGCGTAGACGTCTGAGTGGCATCAAAATCCATTACCATACTCTAGCATGCCATTTTGTAACAGCATATAAAGCCATGTTACAAGGGTTTTCCAAAAATTTTGTATGAAATAAATGCCGTCGCCATATTGTTAATCTAAGAAAAAAAAAGGTTTTAATATATCTAATTAATTTATCTTATTTAAATAACTTTGTTGAATCCAATAAGTTACGAAAGGTGGACTTAATGCTAGTAGCATTCTCTAGCAGTCAACCTTTTGGATGGAGAGTGAATGATGAACGCGGTACTTAATTATTGAAAGAGATAAAGAAAATAACAGCTAATGTATACCTATACAAAATAAGTAATACATACATAAATATAAAGGATTATACATATATATATATATATATATATATATACAACTAAATAGTTATATAAAATATAAGTAATATATACATAACTGAAGTATAAAAGATGATTATTAGTTACTAAGGTTCTAATGTAGGCATTTATCTGAAAATCCATTGTTGTATGTGAGTACAATTTAAAAAAAAAAATAGATTTCAATTAGAAAAGTATTTTAATTTTTAAGTATCTGCTTTTTATTTGTACCTACACTCATTTCATTCGAAAATGCATTCTTTAGTCTTGGCAAAAATTCAAAGGAGACAAGATTTCGGTTTCAATTCGATTATATCGGCCTGCTTTTATATGGTGTAATATTATAAATACGAAATGAAAAAGTTATGATCAAAGAAATTAATCATGTCGATGTGCTTCGATTTGAAGGATCATGGTAGTAAAATTATGGAAAACAGAGACATAACACCATAATCCTTAAGAATGGCAATATAAGAAGCGTACCATGGGAGTCATAGAGTATACTGTGATATTTACGTTGTGATTCATGTCTATAGAGAAGTGTTACTACTTTTAATTAGGCTGATAAAAGATTATGTCGGTTTCAAATCCATTAATTAATATAGATAGTTAATCACCAAAATGATATTTTTTCATGAATGTTAATGAAATGGTAACTCTGCTCGCGCTATCGATATTCACAGGCAGGGTACCAGTGAGGGATGATTGGTGAGGATGAAAAGCCAGGTCAGTTAGCTCATTGTGACGAATTCAACGATACATTAATCACGATAGTTTCCAGGAGGAACCGGGTAGAGGTCAACCTGATCTCTATCAGGTTTTGGCGGTATTAGGTCAGGGTAATTTGATGGCAATGAGGACTAACTGCCCCATTATTGACAATCCCTTCTCCCCAAAAAATATTTACTGCTATATTAATTCAATTAATAAAACAATTCAGCAAGAGGCCGCACGTTGGACGCTTCTCAAGAAATCGTCGCTCTCGGTGTGTGTAACTTCATAGGCGCTTTCTTCCGTTCGTTTCCTGTGAATGGTTCGTTCACGCGGAGCGCTGTGAGCGACGCATCCGGTGTAAGGACTCCAGCGGCTGGCCTGTGTACAAGTAAGGATATTCAATTCTATTAAAATACTATTGTTATAGTTTAGTTAATTAAACTGTTTCGTTATTTTTTGGTTACTTTTGAATTAATATCTTATTTCACATAATATTAAAAGATATCTTATTGCATCTTTTAGAGATTTGGAACTATAAAAGTTGAATAATAAAAAAAAATTACTAATTGGTTTATAGCTGACAAACTTATGTACGTTACGTACATATTCTGAAAATTTTTATACTCATAATTATAATTATTATATAGATATTAGGACCACAAAAATAGATTATTAATAAGAAAACAATATTTTCAATCTGTTGGAAATGTTAGAGTTGTCAATGATATTATTTATCGAGTAATAAGTAATAGATATTGGCAGTTATTCTGTGAGGAAACTATTCTTTCTTAATTCGTAACACGTATCTAATAACTGTATCATACAAAACATGCGTATGGGATATATAATATATGACGCTTGTCGCCCCTAGAGATAAAGATGTTTTGATTTTGGCACTGAAATCTAATTAAGTTGTCTCATTCTAGCATTAATTTTGTTACGACCTTGTCATGCAAATATTTGTAGAATTGAATATTTGTATCTTAAATTATACTTATCACATTTAAGGCAGCTTTTATTTATTTTATTTATTCATTAGTACAAATATGTGTACATGGCGGACTTAATGCTAAAAGCATTCTCTCCCAGTCAACCATAGGGAAGTGTCAGGATACTCGAATGCGGTACTACTAATGATTGATATACATACATACTAGAATTACATATATAAACGAATAAATATATATAAATAACAAATATACTTACACATATATGACATATACTATATTATACACGAAATTGAGAATAATATAAAGTACTTACTGCTCGGATAAAAAACAGCTTTGGTTATTTAAAATCAATTATGATTGACACTAAGCTTTAGCTTTAAGAGTTATGATTTTTATTTATTTATTTATTTTTTATGCAATTGAAAATGGCAAACAAGCTGATAGCCCACCTGATGGAAAGTAGTAACCGTCGCCTATAGATATGAGCAGTACCATGGACATAACAGAGTATACTGTTTCGCCCATGATACCCCCCATGCGTTGCCATTCCTAAGGACTCGAGTGTTATTTCTTTGTACCCTGTAAATTCACGCCATATCCCATCCTTCAAACCGAAACACAGGCATGCAAACACAACAGCTTCATGGTTGAAACACGAATGGGACAGAGATACCCAAGCAATCGACTTTTGTACAAAGTCTCCCTCTGGTAAACTCTTAATACTATACAACATATATATACGTTAATGTCTTCAACAAAATAAAACAAATTCAATTTCATTCGATAGCCTTTGGTGACGCACGCGTCACTACTGGCATCAATACTCCGTTGTGTAGCGCTGCCTTGTTGCACGGAGTCAGCGGATACGCAAACACGTCGGACACGAAGAAAAGTAGAGAACAACTTGGGCACGAGGTTCTCGTTCGTCGCCTTAGTTTCGCGCGCTTTTTAACGGCCGTCCGTTCGCGTACACGGCACGCGCTGCCACCTCGTCGCGTCGCGAGTGCAGTGAGTGCATGTGAACAGTTACAAGTGACAATTGTGTAGTGTTGTGAACTCTAGTGCATCGGACTAACAAGTGTTAGGGTGGTGTACTGCGCCATAAGCGCAGCGCACCAGCTCCGGAGCCGGTGCCAGAGACCAGCACTCTCCTCCCCGGCGACCCGCGCCGCCTTCGACACCCCGGCCAAGTATCGGCAACAGGTACACAAGTCACTCCGGTGACTACATTCCATTGTTACATTAACAATAGGCACACACCCCCCCGCCGTACTCGGCGGGGCGGTTAACTGTACACAAAGCGGCCGGGTAACCGTCGCCCGGCCGGTGACTAATCCTTGTATAAAGGGCGACTCATACCTGGACAGGTCCCAACAGGCCCTTATATACGCGGCTTGTAGCGGCTTATTTTTTGTGTCCACTTTTATAGTAGCGCATTGTCCGTATTATAAATTTAAATTATTTTTAGGTATTGGCACCCGACTTAAGAGTCGGGTGCATTGTTTTAGGATGTTTCCTGGGACAACATGTCGCTGTCCCAGGATGACATTCCACAATTCGTGGCCTTTTTAAAGGCCAAATGTCCTGGCCTCTTAAAGGCATTTTTCGATGAGCGCAGGGGCGCACATGTGATACATGACGACGCCCCTGCCTCGCCGGCGGCCTCCCATCAGGAGGCCAACGACGAGCTGTCCTCAAACCCACCTTCCCCCGGGGACCACCTAGTGAGTACCCCGGAGCCGATGTCCCCTCAGGAGGTTGCTCCCAACCGCCCCTCCTGTGAAACGGAAATGGAGCTAGACGCTCCCAACGTCGTCGCTGAAACAGGCGACTCCTCCGACACTGCCTCCTCCTCGGAAGAGGAATTTCAAATTGTGGGTGCCAAGCGCACCAAACGCGCGAAGCGGGCGCGCGATCTTCCCCCGCCAAAAACCCAACGTGCCAATGATGGCGCACCCGTTCCGGCTAACGCCGATAAAACCGACCGCGATCATATATATATATATATATATATATATATATATATATATATATATATATATATATATATATATATACTAGGAATCAGAGTAGTGGTTCCCACATCGGCGGATCATCGCCAGTTAACTTCCTTCCTCAGGACAAACAGTGTGGGTTCCCACACTTATGCCCTCGAGGAGGAGAAACGACTGCGCGTAGTAATACGCGGCGTCCCTAAGGAGCTGGACTGCCAGGACATCCTCGCAGATATCCGCTCTCAAAACTACCCCGTCCACGAGGTACACAGGATGTACCGCAGCAGGGCCAAAACGCCACTAGACATGGTACTAGTGGTACTAGATCTCTCCCCAGAGGGGAAATCTATCTTCAACATCTGAAGTGTCTGCCTGATCTCAGGCCTATCAGTAGAACCGCCAAATAAGCGGACCTACCCCGGGCAGTGCCACCGCTGCCAAAATTATGGGCACTCCGCCCGAAACTGCTACGCGCGCGAACGTTGCGTCAAGTGCCTGGGAGACCACGGCACCAAGCAATGCACTCGCGTGAGTGGCACCCCGACCCCACCTAGCTGTGTACTCTGTGGCACACAGGGCCACACAGCTAACTACCGCGGATGTCCCCGCGCTCCCCGTCCCGGCCAAAGCAAGGCCTCCGCAAAAGCCACAAAGGCTCAGGCACCCCGCGCAGCACGCCCCGCGCCCCCTACTATCCCGCAGCCCTCAGCTGCACCACCTCCCCCGCCAAAAAATGCTTGGGTGCGACCTCCGGTCGTCAAGGCGACCCCCTCACCCACCATGCCATCTGCAACCGCTCCCACGCTTGCCAAGATTGTGGCATCGCCCGCTCCTCCGCGCCCCGCCCCGCAAACTGGAACGAACGTAGGCTCAAGCTTCGCAGCCGACTTCGCACTGGTAGCGAAACTCGCCAGCTCCATCGACGCTGGCGAGATTACGGCCCTGGCATCCAAATTAAGGTCAGTCAACGACCCACAAGAAAGACTCGCAGCCGTCTGCGAGCACATCGGCGTACTAGTCGCCATCCTCAATTTTAACAATTAATTATGGATCTAAGGGCGAAAAGATGCAAACCTCGGTCCGTTAAGTTATTTTTAACGCTAACGGACTACAAGGGCAAAGAGACGAAGTCCGTGAGTTTCTCACCGTCCATCAGGTGGACGTTCTCCTACTACAGGAGACCTTCCTCAAGCCTTCAACACGCGGTCCAAGAATCGCAAACTACAATATCGTACGCAACGACCGCATCAGTCCCGGCGGCGGTACGTTAATTTATTACCGAAGGTCCCTTCAGTGCATTCCGATCGACACGCCTCCGCTCGTAAACATGGAAGCCTCGATATGCCTCCTCGCGATGACAGACCACCGACCGATCTATATAGCATCGGCATATCTCTCTCCCTCCAAAAAGCTACTCCGGGCCGACCTCCAAGCTCTCATGGACCTGGGGGATTCGGTAATTATTGCCGGAGATCTAAATTGCAAGCACAGCCTTTGGAGCTGTGCTTATCCGATAAACGGTCTCACCCTGGAACGCCTTTCGCTCTCCATGGGTTTCGACATCCTTCCCCCAGTGCACTTCACGCACTATCCGGCAAACACTGCTCATCAGCCCTCCATCCTCGACATGGCCCTACTAAAGAACGTAGCCTTAAGGCTGAGTTCTATGGAGGTCCATACCGAACTCATCTCCGACCACCGCCCCGTCACATTCTCGCTAGGCCCACCTGCAGACGGGGCGCCTCAATTTAAAACGGTCACGGACTGGAGCCGGCTCGAGAAAGTCCTCGAGTCGACTAACTCTCCGGTACTGGACCGCATCCCGGACGTAGTCGAATCTATCGAGGAGACGACTACAGCCATTGACGCGCTAACAGAGCACCTGCAGTCGGCAGTCAAGGACTGCTCCAGGGAGGTTCCGGATACGGGCGACCGTAGATGGAACCTGCCTGATGATGTAAGGGCTCTGCTGCGCACTAAGAATGCAGCCACACGAGCATATGACCGCTATCCCTCAGAAGAGAACCGAACCCGCCTGCGAGCTTTACAGCGCGAAGTAAAGAGTCGCATAGCGGAACTTCGGCGAGACAGATGGGATAAGTTCACCAAAGAACTCACCCCCTGCCATACCGCGTACTGGCGAGTAGCCAAAACCCTCAAAACAGACCAGTGTTACTCCGACCTTCCGCCCTTAGTCCGAACAAACAACAGTCCGGCCTTATTTGATGAAGAAAAGGCTGAATGCCTAGCAGACAGCCTAGAGAATTAATATGCCGAGCACCCTTCCGGTGCCCGATGATCATCTAGAGAAGGTAGAATCCGAGGTGGAGCGAATCTTCGATCCCTCCAGTAGAGTCACTCCCCCCGTTACACTGGATGAGGTGCGAACACTCATCAAAGGAACCCCCAACCGAAAGGCACCCGGTGCCGACGGTATCTCTAAC